GAGCACAGAGCAAGGGAGGCCACTAAATAAGGCTATTTAAAAAGTGCTAGAGGAATATATTTAAATAATCATTTTATGGGAGGGAAAAGGCACATTTCTTGATGCAGTAATTAAAAAAAGATTTATATTCCAGTGTGCAAATTCCCATTGAATCCTACTTAGCCCCCTTATCTATGTCAAAGCAAACTTAGTTTCACATCAGTGGTGTTTCTCGTTTATCTTAGTGCTAAGGATTTATTTCTTATGCAAAACTGTTCATTTTTACCAGCCTGGAAATTTTTTAAAAAATCACATTCTCTTCTTTCACAAATTTCATTAAGCTAAGGTGTCATCAAACTGAAAATCTGCAGACACAATTTTGGCTCCTTTTTGTAGGAAACTCAGAGGAGTGCCCAATCCAGGCAACAGCAGATTAGCACTCGCTCTGCTAAGAGATTTCTAAGTGTTGGAAAGAGAAAAACATAGGTAGCCTATAAGGATTTGCAGATTTCTGCTCTAATCTAAAGTTGAGCCAATAAGAATCAAGACTGTCCCATAACTCTCTGTGGCCTAGAAGATGCATTCTTCAGGAAAAGCATGTGAAGAAAAAGAAAATCAAATTGTCTATAGACTGGCCAAAAAAAAAAAAAAAGTAGAGAGGAAAATGCAAGAGTTAAACTTCATTCAAATATTTTGAGCAAAAAGAAATGATCAGATATGATCTGCGTTGTAATGGTCAAAATCAAAGGCATGTCAAAACAGTCAAAACCCAACAATCAACTCAAGTCCAACAYGAATTGAATATCTGTTTATTAGTGTATTCTCTAGCTCTGTGTCCAATTAAGACCCAACAACTCCCTAGACTTTATCCCCTGATCATATGGGTATCTAATACCTGTCAATGCAATTTTCTTGATTACTAATGAAACACTCCTTGTTCATTCCATTAGTCTTTATAATCACTATATTAAATCATTCTCCCTGGTGTTTTCTCCCAGCAACCATTCATGAGCCCTGACAGCATCTCTGTTTTCTCTTGGTCTCAGCTCTTAGATGCCAGTTGCCATTTGGTTCTTTTTTTTTCCTCATAAATTCAACCATCCCAGCATCTTAAAAACAACCAGGCAACTGCTTTAAGACTTTAGTTGAACTTGAACCTTCTATCAAGTTGTCTAATTAAGCTACCAGATCATCACTCTTCCCATTTATAAGATAATCATCTGATTCCCTTTTGTTAAACTGTTTGCCCTTTAGCCCTGTGGTTGATTCACTTGGGAACTAGATTATAGCTTCCCAGACTAAAGCTACAGTGGAATTGTTGTGACTTCTTACATGTTTAATTAATGCCAACAATGCCAGTCCAATTTCTAGCTTAATACCACCTCTTTTCATAAGTCGCTCTATTATTTTTGTCTTCAATAACTTTCTGGGTTAGTATTTTTCCAAGTGTTCCAAAATTCATTCCTTCTKTAGAATTAAAACATTCCTACTGGATGTGGCTGCTCATTTTTAAGAGTTTAGGGTTACATGATTGGTGAATGAGATTAAGGAAGATAAGAAAATAGTAAAATTATCTTCATGATGGCCTCATAATAGAATAAAGTACATTTTATAAAGTTCTTTTACACATCTTATTTCATTTGCTCCTAAAGAAGGCTCAGATATTACTCTGCCCATTTTTACAAATCAATGATTTCCAAACTCCGTCAATGTAAACCAAGCCCAAGACACGGCTTCAACCAACGCAGTCCATTTCATGAAGTTTTTTTAAACACATCTAAGTAATATCATCATCTGATATGARCAAGGTGTATATGGCTCATCAATAAAGTATGAAAGCCTCTTTTAGAGGGAAAAGACGAAAAAACAAAAGGCAAGGACAACATCCCAGGCTTCCTGATCCAAAGACTAACATTTGCTTCCCATGCAGTTATATTCCTCAGGAGGAAGGAAAGCCAAGAAAACAGGGAATGCATACACAAGCTCTTTCTCATCAGTTTAACTGTAAAAAATAATTGTTTCACTGATTGCCAAGTTTTGGGCCCCAGACAAGCTAGATTTCACTTGCTGAACTTCTTAAGTTATACCTGTACTGGTAAGGCCACCATATACCAACCACAGTGCTATATGAGGACCCAGAGGCTCACAGGAGAAACATGGCTGCTTCCACACCCACCAAGAAGCAAACTAGTGGGACTCCATGAAGGAATTGAAGAGATGGAGAAAATTACTCAGAATGTCAAACACAAAAAGAAATTTAAGCCTCCTGTGCCCTCTGGCTTCCACTGTGTCCTCTCAATGGGAAGCTCTGATGAGGAATTAGTTGGTTCCAGAACTGGGACTACCTTGTAAGGGGCCGAGAATGTCCAATCCCTGGAAATAACTGATGTTCTCTAGTAGCCTGTATCATCCAGACCTTTCTTCTTCTAGGTTCTTGTAAATGTTTCTGTCCCAGTGTTAATCAGGTTTTTGTCACTGTGAAAAACCGCCTGAGAAAATCAACTTACAGGAGGAAAGATTTCTGTTGGCTTGCAGTTTCAGAGGTTTCAGTCTAGACTCAGCTGGCTTCGTTGCTTTGGGCATAAGGTGAGACAGAACCTCATTGCAGAAGGGCATRGAAGAGAACTGCTCAATTCATGGTGACCAGGAAGTGGGGGGTGGGGGGAGCCTAAGACAAGATATATTCCCCAAGGGCATGCTCCCAAGGACCTGCTCCATCTAACCAGGCTATATCTCTTTATAGTTTTCACCACTTTTCAATAATCCATTCAGCTATGAATCCCTCAAAGGATTAATCCACTGATGAGGCTAGAGCTGTCGTGATTCAAGCACTTCTAAAAAGCCCCATTTCTGAACACTGCTGCATGGGAGACCAAACCTTCACTACCTGAGCATTTGGGAGACACTCCAGATTCAAATCATGGTGTGGTAGAACAAAATGGAAACTATAGCAGTTTAAGAGCTGACAGGCTGTAGTTTCCACACGCTGGCACACAGCAGCTCTGCTTGCTGGTGCTTMACCATAGAGGCTTGCAGTGGCTGACAAGTAGCTGTAACAAGATGACCACAGTTAGACAGTAGAAACAGAAAACAAAATATTTGGGAAAGAACTCCCCCCTACACACACACACCAAACTTTATGCAGTAAAAATCTCYAAGCTGTATGAGCTAAAAGCCCCAAGGCTGTTGATAAGCTTGTACCCAGATAAGGAATGGAAGATGCACCTTCCAATAGAATCCCACCAACTTCCTGGCCATCAACATCTAAAAAAAAAAGAATGGGAGCAGTTCTCTGATAGAGGGCTATTGACACTAGAATTCCCTGTTTCCACCATGTAAGGACACAGCGAGAAAGCACCCTCTGTCAACCAGAAAGCAGGCCCTCGCCAGACACCAAATCTGGACTTCCCAGCATCCAGAACTGTGAGAAAGAAATTTTTGTGCTTACAAAAATCCAGTTTGTGGTATTTTGTTATAGCTGCCTGAATGGACTAAGATGGAGGTAAGAGCCCCTATTAGTCACAGGTAGCTACACAGTCCTCTTATGCTAGGATGACAGGGAGCTAAACAGAAGCCAGAGGTGTAGTTAGAATGGATTTTTTCACACAGGCATGATCACTGAAGCTGGAACTCAGGATGGACATTCTGGAGATCAGATCTACAAGAAATAAGAACAGCAGCAACCTGTTTACAAGTAAACTTAAGGGAGTATTCAAAATGAGGAAGGGTGGGAAGGCGAGTTGAAAAGGAGAACAGGGATGGTAAGAAGCAGGGACTGAGGATAACAAGATTTTAAAAAGGACTAGGTTAGAAGATGATGACTGAGAATTGTCCTTGGATGAGGTGACTGGGATTTTTGGTGATGATGGACATAGGAGTGGCTGATGTGGAATCTGCAGGCCAGAAGAAGTCCATGAGCCCATTTGACCCACCACAGGGACAGAGGATACCATTAAACCCCCATGGGTGGCARTGCCTCCTCAATTTATTCTGCCAGYTTTCACTGTCCTCCTGATACGAGCCAGGTAGAAGATTTGTTCACTGCTACAGCTTGGCTCTCTGCTGTGTCTGAAAGCTGACCTTGGTGTCCTCTGAGTTTTATCCCAAAGAAAAGCACAGCAATTGAGCAATTCCCCAGGCACAGGGGACAGAATCTGAGAATGACATAAAAACAGGATTCCCTTCCCACCTTGGGCCTCCAGGGTTGTGCTGCTGCATTTTGTAGTTGCACAAAGGAGTATGTTAGGCAGTAGGGGATCTTTGGTTCTATGTAAAGAAATAAGTGTTTGCTAGAATTAACCATTAACCGTATGCTTGATAAGAAGAAAAGTGCTGTGTGAGAGAACTAAATGAAATGGTCCCTTCCCTCCCTCCAGGAGCAAAGAGCTTCATGCAAGAAATAAACTATACACACACAACAAGCAGGAAAAGCAACACAAAAAAACACAATACACTTTTCATAATTATTGACAAATTGTGGGATTATCTATGGGAACAGAGACAGAAGAAGAATTCAGTGTCTAAATTGTTGTTGATGATGTATATGTTTTCTGCATTTTTACACTGAGTATGAATTGGTATTGAAATCAGAAAAAATGAAGCAATCATTTTAATAGCTTTTTTGTGTGTGTGCGTATGGGGTGGTGGGGAGAGCTTAATAGTCAAAAACAATATGGCCCTGAGCTAATGTTCCAGGCGTGCCCCTTCCTAATAACTTGAACTTAAACAAGTTTCCTAACCACTCATGCCTAAATTTTCTCATTTACAAAATCATGTAGACAGAGTGGAGAAGAAGTGGGTGTTTTCTGGTAAGAAACCAAGAAASAAGACTATAAACCATAAGTGATTTATGGAAATAAAAATATCTTTCAACTTGATCATCTTAATTTAGTTGTTATCTTAAGCAAAAATGCCTAACGTTACTAAGTTACACATAAAGGTTTCAAGAAGAAACGAAGTATGATAAGCTTAAGAAAAAAAAAAAGAAGAGAGATGGTTCAAACTCTAGCACTGTTACTTACCAGTAGCTGACCTTCCTGAGTCCCAGTTACTTCATCTATAAAACAAAGATAATAACAAAACCTACTTTATAGGGACCCTTGTGAAGATACATATACAATGCCATCAAGTTACCTACCGGAGTGTCTAATTAATGATTATATATAATTATGATTGCCATCTTAAGAGGCTGCTTTTGTTTCAGACAAATCTGAGAGAGGATGGACATGAAGAGGTACATGTCTTTTTCTCTATTTTTTATCATACACATCTCAGATATACAACATGATATTTTGACACACATGTTGAAATGATTACTATAGTCAAGGYAATTAACAAGTGCATCATCTCACACAGGTACTTTTTTTTGTTACAGAACACCTAAAATCTGCTGGGCAAGTTGGAGCATACCTGTAATCCCAGAAACTTGGAAGGCTGAGGCAGGAGGATGATGAGTTCAAAACCAGCCTCAGAGACTCATCGAGGCCCTAAGCAACTCAATGAGTCCCTGTCTCTAAATAAATTTCAAAATGGGCAGGGGATGTGGCTCAGTGGTTGAGTGCCCCTGAGTTCAAACCCTGGTATCAAAAAACAAAACAAAACACTTAAAATATATTCTTTTAGCAAATTTCCAATACATAATATCATATTATTGACAGTTTTCCTTTTGCTGTTTATTAGATATCTAGAATTATTTATCGTTCATAACTTCAACATCGTACTTTTCAACCTACACTTCCCTATTTTCTCCACCTAAAATATTTTTTCACCCCCAGAACTGTCATTATATTCTTTCTAGTTACTGGATTTTTTTTTTTCAGTTTCTACCTATAAGTGAGAGTAGTCAGTAGTTTTCTTTCTGTATCAGGCTTATTTCATTTAGCATAGTGTCTTCCAGGCACATCCATCTTGTTATAAATAGCAGAATATCCTTCTTTTTAAAAAATGAAAAAATACTCTACTATACATATATATCACAATTTCTTTATCCATTTGTCTGTCAGCAGACACATAGGCTATTTTCATATCTTGGCTATTATAAATGATGCTGCAATGAACATGGAGATGCAGATATCTTTATGTGCTGCTGATTTCATTTCCTCTGGGTATATACTCAGAAGTTGGATTGTTGGCTCTTGTAGCTGTTCCATTTTTAATTATCTAAGGAAACACCATGCTGTTTTTCATGATGGCTGGACCATTTACATTCCCAAGAAGAGTGTACAAATGTTCTCTTTTCTCTACATGCTCAAGAATACTTATCTTTCAGCTTTTTTTTTTTTTTTGCAGGGGTTGGGGGGGGTACCGGGGATTGAACTCAGGAGCATTTGACCACTGAGCCACATCCCCAGCCCCATTTTGTATTTTATTAGAAATAAGGTCTCACTGTGTTGTTTAGCACCTTGCTAAATKATTGAGGCTGGCTTTGAACTTGCAATCCTGCTGCCTCCGCTTCTGAGCTGCTGAGATTACAGGCATGTGCCACCAGGCCAGGCTCTTTCAACTTTCTGATGATAGTCATTCTAACAGGTGTAAGGTGATATTTCACCAGCATTTTCCTTTGCATTTACTGATATTAAGTGATGCTGATGTTTTCATATACCAGTCAGCTATTTATGTCTCCTTTGGAGACATGTCTATGCAGGACTTTTGCCCATTTTTAGCCAGTTTGTTTTCTTACTATTGAATTGTGTAAGTCCCTAAGTATTTTAGATATTAACCCTTTATCAAACATATAGATCACAAATATTTTTCTCTCAATATATAGGCTGCCTTTTTGTTTTGTTGGTTGTTTTCTTTAGTGTGATAAGGTACTATTTGTTTAATTTGGGGGTTTTGCCTGAGCTTTTGGTATGATATTATAAAAAAAATCATCACTAAGGCTAATGTCAAAAAGCTTGATGTGCCTTTATATATCTTTGTACCAGCAGTAACTTGTACAGGGTTATCACAAAGGAGAGATGCAATAAGTAATTGTGAATGAAGAATGAATGACTAGGTTGATCTTCCTATTCCATCAAGAGCCATGTCTATATATAACTAAATTGGCATAGACAAAAATAAAAATTAAAAAAAAAAATAAAGAAAAAATTTTACATGTTTAAATTCAATCTAGTGAGTTTAAAAATGAATTCATATCAGCAAATTATCTGAGTTTATTCTAGAAGGGGTAAGAAAAGTCAGAGGCATTTTTACAGCTTAAATATACTGCCTGGTTATTCATCTTCCAGTCGGGCTACCACCTCATTTGTCACTCTGGAAGAATCAAAGGGTTTCTTTTATCTCTCAGAATACTGGTTTTTAAATAAGTATTAAATAAGTATCTTTAAATAAGAAGCTAATTTAAAAGAAAGCAGTAGGGAAGAAGTGAGGGAAGAAAGGAACAAACAAAACAAAAGGAAAAGAAGAAAAACAGAAGACAGAGAAAGGTCTCTTCATTCTAAAGCCCTACTTTACTCCCCACCATGTAATAAATAGCCTATTTTGCCAGCATCTTCCAAGTACCATTCCCAACCGAAGGACAGAGAGCAGGAACTTACAATTAATGATCCATGTGGGTAAAATGTTGTCACAGGTATAAAAAGAAATGCTTACTTAAACTGGAAAATATATATTTTATGAATGCCATCAACTCAACCTTAAAGAGAAGAGCAATATCAGAAAATGCGAATTGGTATAAAATCTGTTCCCAGCTTTTGCAGATACATATTCCTCCATTCTTCAGAACGCGGTCTGAATATTACTTCCTCAGAGTATCTCTCCTTGACTCCTCACCCTGGGTTGGCTACTTTGTTCCATGCTTAGGCAGCAGCTGGTAACCTTCTACTAGAAGCTACTACTGTTGTAATAAGGCAAATATTTGGATTATTGTTTATATCGGTGTCCTCAGCCACAATGCAAGCAAGTTTCCTGAGGGCAATGTTCTTGTCTGCCTGTCTACTCTGTAATCACCAAACTTCACACAAAGGACTTGCAGGAATAGGTAAGCAAACACACACACACACACACACACACACACACACACACACATTTGATCTTAATTATTCTGTATTTGGAGATTTACAAATTCACTAATTTGAAATCTATTTGTAACCTGAGAACTCGCAGAATTTCTGCAGTCATTTGCAGACAGGGGTAGAGTGGTGAAAAAGTTGTCACCCAACACACAGGTTCCTCACAGAAGTATGGGACAAAGGTAAAGGAACTCAGGCCTTCTTTTTCAACTCTTATCCTGCAACCAGGTTGGGTTCTATTTAATGCTACATTTTTTACATTCTTGTGGGCATTTTTTGGTGATTCAACTGTTTAAAATGGCCCCTAAACCTACTGTGCTGTTTGGTGTTCCTAAGCACAGGAGAGGTGTAATAGGCAGATTTGTTTAGGCTTGATTTATTGGCCAGGGGTTCAGTGTTAATGAATTAACTTTTTTTTAAGGGTGTCTATAAACAAAAACAAACCTGAAACAAAATTATGTGCCGATCAATTAACAATAATGTTGTGACCAGAGGTTCATGAGAAACTAAACCTAAATTTATTTTAGAATTAATGGTTCAGTATTCACTAATTCAGTGTTTATGACAAGAATAAAGAACTTTATAGAATTCCCCGGAAAAATGAGAATCAACTGTGCATGAATTGTTATTATATATACTTAGTAAGTTTTTGCAGCCAGGGATGAAGCTCAGTGATATAGCACTTGCCTAGCTACCATGTGTGAGGCCCTGGGTTTGATTCCCAGAATCACACACACACACACACACACACACACACACACACACACACACCAAGTTAAATTAAATCAAAAAGAATTTACTTCAATGAGGATCTACTAATAAAGGTCTCCTTAAAACAAAAGAGTATGTGTTTGTGGGTATGTATGTATGTATCCTTCTTTAGTAGTTCTTAAACATTTTGGGGTAATAAACCCTGTGCTAATATTTTTATGAAAAGTGGTATATCACTTGCTCAGCATGCATAAGAACCTAGGTTCAGTCCTYAGCACTGCAAAAATTAAAAAGTTTATAAAGACTTGGGGTAGCTTAAGGGAATTATGTAGGTACATAGGACCCTATGTTGCGTAGCTCCAGGATTAGGGTAAAAGGATTGGCATTCATAGCAGAGTATATATCCCATAGAGTAGTTTGTTGTGATACCACTTTATACAAATACACACATACAWATTTATATTTTATCCTGAGCATTATGGTCTCCTATTTTTACTTTATTTGTATTTTAGAGTTATATGTATTTTAGATTTATATCCTGATAGTGATATTAGCATAAGGGCAGATAAACTTTGGAATAGAAACACAAATGCATATATGTCATATGTGTATATATATATATATATAGCACACTCAATTTTACCTCAAATATTTTACATAGGTTCAAATTTAAGTTATTTACATTATACCCACWAATGACAAGGACTAGAAAATTCCAAAATATATATCTCTAGATGAAAGATAATTTATTAGGAACAGYGGTGAAAGAGATTCCCTACGATGAGTTTAACATAGGCAGGAAACTAAAAGTTGAATTACTATATATGTTGCAAAAGAACACTGATGTAACCTGTACCTGATTTCCTAAGAGTCTTCTGCTTTCTCAGGTCTGTATGACAGGCTATAATATAATTTAAGCTTCTATGACATCTAAGCTCTTTGGAGATAGTTACTAGTAAGCACCTAACTGTGACCCTCAAATAGCAGATCATATTACTTAGTAAAGCTTCCAATTAGATTTGTTGGTTAAAAATGAAAATTGAAAGAAAGACACTATGAGGGGAAAAAAATTCATGCCTGCAAATGGTCTTGTGGACAATGTGATAGTAATTAAAATAATTATGCTATTAATAATTCAGTATTGGGTTAAAAAAAAAACTATACAATGTGAGTGATTTAACAGACCAGAAATGGCATATGTTGTACCTTAGGTGAATATGAGGTCACCAAGAATCCACTTCACAGTTTTCCCAGGAGTATAGAGTCAAAAAGGTCACTTGTGGTAAAAGATCCTTTGGATTAGTCTTTTTAAATCAATGCATGAATTAAAGAC